AAAATAAAACGTTACAATATTATGTATAAATTTTGACATTTTTAGAAATGATCCAAACATAGTTCTAAAGTGGTTGTCTTATAAGCTCTTGTTCTCTTGAAGTGACTGTGATTCTGTGTGTGTGACACACAAAATAAAATTCAAAATATTTCAAACATTGAATAGTTCAATCGTTGAGAATAAGTTAATCGACAGATGATCCATAATTCTCTACTTCCAAAAGTACATTTTTCAAAAGAAGTCAATACGGTACTAAAAACTAATGATAGGGGAGGTTTTAAAAAACCCACGTAAATCATTGGAAGAATTTCAAGAGGTTTCGCAGGTTTAATCTCCCATGGAGTTACCATCTTGCTGTCTTTATCGGCTTATATTGACGGTTCACACATACATGAGATGAGTATGGATATTTTTCGATTTAGGATCCTGGTTTGCGAATATCTCTTCTGACACTCTGATCGCAGAATCATTTATTTTTAAATGAGAGTGCAAAAATGCATGAAATTTGAATACGATATGCCACAAAGAGAAACCTTTTACAAACTAAATCTCAGTTTAAAGATTTTCTGGTATTAGTTGTCTACAAATTATCTGCTTTCAGAAAATATATTTAGAGAAATGCTCCTTGAGAGCTAAAGAGAGTAAAAGGCCATCCTGTCCTGCCATCACCCGGGACACAAACAAACAGAAGACATGCTAGCTCACTTCCAGCTTTGCGACATAAATCCAACTTGGAGCCGAGATCACACAAATTACGTAAGGAGATTTTCTGCCTATCGTAGAAGGAAATACGCCTTTTTTGCTCCAGATTAGATTGGCACAGCTCGGGATTACTATTTCCAAAATATCTCAGAGATTTAAACCTGGAAAATAAGATTAGGGAGAAGTCCTCTGACATTTAAATCCACCTCTCTGTTATCTGATTATTTAGAATATATTTATGTAAGGCGCTAAAAAAAGTTCAAGGTTAAAGTACCAGAAGATCAATGACAGTAAATAATAATGTTCTTTTTATAAGTACTTCTTTTTATCTCATTATTTGTTCGAGTTATTTCTGTTCAGGTTCTTCCAAACATGGCTGGCGACCTAACTTAAATTACGGTCTTACAGATTTCTATTGAGCTTTTTTTCTTTCTTTATATAGACGGGGGATACCGCTATAGAAAGTTGTAACCTCGTAATTGAACGTCTTTCAAAGTTAACTTGATAGCAATGTCGCAATTTTAACAAAATATAGATTTTGCTATCGTTACTTTAATCGTCTGTAGATAAATTATTTTCCAATAAATGTTTTGAATGTATTTAAAGTGGACGCCCCAGTCAGTTTTAAATCGTGATTTGGTTGTTGTGAAAAAAATTCCGGGGCTTCCATAAAAAAATTTCGGCTTTATTTTAAAATATTCTATGCTTTTATACTTTTCAATAAAATAATTCCTTTTTGCGATATTAAGATGGGATAAATCAGGGATGAGTTTCTTACATTTTTTATTTTAAATTTATAGCTCTTTAGGGCATATATGATAGCCGTTCTACAGGAGAAACACTATAGGGCTATCATACCCGAACGATAGAGATTTGAAAAGGGAAAAAAATAAAGAAACTTATCTCTATAGAAACCTGATGTTTTCACTTTAATGCCTTCCTCTTGTTTGATTTGTTTCACGCCTGATACGAGGATAGCATCGTCGTTGATTCCATCTGACCGAGGTGGCCAGGTAACAACATCCATCTTTGATAATACATTTAGTTGGTGTATTCTTTGTCTTCATGGTTTTATTGTAGATATTTGTTTGATTATAAAAACCTACCATAGTAATATTGTCTGGTGCCAATTCTGGAGTGAAAACTAATCTGAAACAAGACCTGCCGTATTTAAGACTAAATTGGATCAGATTGTTATTTTAAATTCCTCAATTCAATTATATTAAGTTAAATCGATCACATTTTAGCCCAAAACTTTTTCTTAAAATCTGTATAAGAGAGAGAATATAATTTTTAGAACATAAAAAAGTCGGTGGACGAGTGGTTAAACCCTCGATTCCCGACAGCCATGAACCGGGATCGAATCCCGCATTGGACAATTTTTTTTCTGTAAAGAACCTGTTGATATTTCTCATTTCAAATAACATAAGCTAGGTACAGGAATTTAGAATATATTCAACGAATATATTATACACCAGCTATGAGTGTATTTATTTAAAAACTCACCCGTTTTGTAATTTTTAATGAAGATATGCAAAATTAGTGTCTGAGTTGTAATATGTTAGTCAAATATTTATAAATATATTATTTGAATTCTGTTTATTAAATCACCATTGGAGTGTATAAGGACCAGTATCAGACATGTTTGTCACCTAAGAGGCTGACAAGAAATCGTGAAAATTGCCAAACGACCGTCGGACAACTTTTAAATCGACCTTGGCATTATATGATAGTGCTAGTCAATGAATAAAATCTCGAATTTAAAGACAATTTGGATTTAAAACCAAGTCATTTATAAGAATAGAAATATTTGGTCTCATGGTTAAGTCTTAGGGTACAAATTCAAAAACGAAAAGATGCAAAAAATAGAAAACATGAAATATATACTGTCGGGTTGGAATTTCGACTATATTTCGCTTTAGTTGTAGTTTGAACTTGTTTTGACATGTTTTCTGCTACAGTGGAACATTGGCCCTTCTCTCCAACCGGACTACTACGGTCAAATGTTGAAATGACCATCTCAAAATTTCCATTAAAACCTTCTCCGGCATCTCAGTTAACAGACCTAATGATTAACCCCCACAGTCCATCCATATATAACACATAATTTCTAGATTAATATCACTCTTGATTCGATTAAATAATCCCTTGAATCAATACAACAACATTCAATTCATCAATAACAAATTCTTTCTTTCTTTTTTTAAAAGAAACTTTTCTCTGGAGACCTAATGCTATTATTTTGATCACTCTTTATATAAAACTATTAAAATCAAAAAGGCATATCCTGACCAGGAGCACATAAGCTTTTTGAAATGGCAGAGCACCATCTAGTGGAACAGAAATCAACAAAACGTTGATTCTGCCTGTTCCCTGATATTTGGCCAACCCAAAGCTCATGTGCTTGTGGTCAGGATATGCCTTTTTGATTTTAATACCAACACCTGACTTTTTTATTATTTTATTCTTACATATAAAACTATTTCAACCAAAATGTTTTTTTTAAACTAGTCATAAAAACATTTTAGACCTACACATTTCTTTTTACCTTTCGTTATCACAGCATCTATATATATATTTTTTTTATGAAAGTTAAATTTTGTCAGGTTGTTTGTGTGAGGTGAAAACCACCAGAGAAAATAATAAAGGTGCTAACAATAATGAGATTATTACAATAATGCTAACAATCAGTTGGTGTCGAGCAAACATTCACTGACACAGTTCACGGGAGAAAAGCCGGGCTACGTAATCATCTTCAGTAGAGGGTCTACCATGAGGGACCATATACGGTACTCGTATATATATATATATATATATATATATATATATAAACACGGCTTAGCTCGGTCGCTCCTGAAGTGGCCATATACTGTGCTTTAGTTGAAATACTCCTCATGACTTGGCCAGACATGTCAGAGTCTCCGATGAGAGGCCACCTCCAGGAGAAACCGGGTTTAACCATGTTTATAGGCTCTAATGGGGGACTCTACTGTAGACAAGCATACCAAAAACGAATATAATGAAAATAATTATATACAATAAGGATGAAGATAAATATATTAATCATCAAATTATTAGAGAAAGGATTATAAAAATACTAATATGAGAATGAGGTAAAATTTCAATAAAGCTTAAAACTGTCGTTCTATATCTATAGGTAGAATGGACATTCAGATAAATGAGAATATGTGACGTTTATATTATCAAAATTCGTCTACTCTAGTGTCCACAAACATGAGGCTGAACATAGGCAGATAGTTCAACAGTGATAGGAGTTCAATGATTTACTTGAACTGACTTTTGTTAACAGGTTTTACGTTATATTGAGCCTGACAGCTGGACTTCACCTAGCTGGCCAGATTTGGTCATCGTAGCCAGAAAGGATTCCTTGATGGAGCAATATTTTCCGTCAGTATTAGGAGGAAGGAAGGATTAATGACATATTACCAGCTGAACCAGTGAGAGGAGAGCAGACCATTGAGATATGTTTCGAAATTAAAGAATTTCAGGATATATTGTTTAATGAACAAAGAGAGGATAAGAGTTCAAAGCTGTATATTGGGTAAGCAATTTTAGAAGTGTCCTACAAAGTAATCAAATAACTGCCCAAACATTTCAATGATAAGGAAAGTTTATTGACGGTCAGCCAGGGATAGGTCCCACCCAGGGGTAGACCTCCGGACACTGCTCGGCGCACGTGAAGAGGTTCCTCTCGATGCCAAGCTTGGTGGTGGGATAGTGACAGCGCTTGGGGCGGCACTTCGTGCCAGGGGGAATCTTGGAGCTCCTGCAGGGCTGCTTGACGTACTCCTCCAGGCTCACAGGCTTCTCCAAGTAGTCCAGTACCTGCCTCACTGTCACCAGGAATACGTCATTTTTCTCTGTCAGCCAGTTTACAAACTGGAGATAGGCTTCCCACCGCAGTGGGTGTCGCAGCCAGGCTTGGTGGAGGAACACTGGGAAGGGCGCGCGGTTCGATTGGTAGTGTCGCAGGAAGTTGTGCTTCAGGTAGTCGAGGGTGTCGTTCACCCCTTCGGGGTAGGGCACGCAGGCGTCGGCCATAGAGCACGTCAGTGGCAGCTCCTCCTCATCCGTGACTGGTTCCCTGGTCCAACCCGTCAAAGGTACCTCCCACATCCCGGGAAAGCTGTTCCCTGGGCAAGGAGCGATAACGCAGTCTTGCTTGAAGCCATTCTTAAGGTCGTATGGTGACAGGGGTAGAACGACCTTGCGGGAAGGGTAGGAACTGTCGTAGCGGAAGCCAGAAAGTGCTTGGAGAGTGACGTCGCCGGCGGTCTGGAGGAACGGAGCGCGGTGGCCCTGGATATCGGCCTCTGGCATGGCCGCGTGGTCCACCAGCAGCTTCCGCATGCCCTCGGCCTCCTCACGCCACTGCTGCTCTTTGGCCGTGCGCCAGTAGTCGGTGTTGGAGTGATGACTGCCCATTCCACACGTCTTAGATATACAGAAAAAAACATTGTCTTAAACTCTAGCAGGATAGAACACTCTAAAAGCCTCCATGACCGACCCATCCGATGCATCGCTATTTGCCTGTGCGCCTGTAGTCGGGGTCGGAATTCCCTACCCCAAACATCTTAATATACAGAACTATAAAGAGAAGGGCATATGAATATAAGAGTGCATGAATATGACAATACCTAAATATAACATTTGGTAGGTTTCCTAATCTGGGATCAAAGCGAAATATATCTGTGTATTAAAGAATGTTGCGCTGTTGACGCTTTACCCTTTGTAAAGTTTCTACAAAGTTCACAAGAAACATTCTATTTCGAGCTATAAGATAATCAGCAATGATCTCAGAAAATATTTTTTTAATGCATCAAAAACTGTTGTGGCCATTGATGGTGGTTAACAATCTTGATAAATAATTCTTATTCTTAACAAGATCATGAAAGGCAAGGTTTCATCATTTTCGAATATACACCGTTAATCAACGTAGATCTAATTCTAGGCAGAAAGGAAGGCTACGTTAGTTGGCGACACATTCACAAATAAACACATTTTGAGGTACATGGTCTCTCGTTTTAACAATTACTTGTTAAACACCAATTCATAGGCTATGAATCAGGCTGTCTTCAACATTATCAAAAGCTACAACATTATGCGATTCACTAAACAAGACCTTTAGGAGAGACTATTGCCCATATTAAAATAACTTGGGAATTAAGATCTTATGGCCTTTATAGACATTTTACAAGACGATAAACAGGTCAGTATAACCTAACATTCTTCAATTCACATAGCGAACAGACTAAGAACCCTAACGAATGCCAATCTGCCCGTGCCTCTGTTACAAAAGCTTTATGCCCAAGTCTGGTGAGGCCACGTCAGTTCATATAGTCCTGTCGTTAGGGTAAGCATATTGCATCGATGAAATGCAATCCTAATGGATGTGTAATGTTAATAAGTTTAAGCGCACAAATGTACAAGATTTGCTGATGGTTTACGAAGGAAAATTACATCGGATCAAAGCTTGGTTATAATATTTAGATATATACGTGAGTTATTTATTTCATGGAAGGAATTTAGTGAAGTTTCATGATGTAAGTCTTCCTTTTGACACTAAGAAAAATGGATGACTGTCTTAAAATTGAGAGACTTGAAGATTTTTTTTATGTTTTTAAGAGGGGGGATATTCACATCCTTATGTGTTTTAATTTACCTTAAGATTAACCCATCAGCTTACATTTTGTATTGATGAAACCCTTTGGGTTATTCAAGGTGAAAACAAACAAATAAGGGAGAGTGAAAATTAATTTAGTTTGTCACAGGTTCAGAGGATTCACCTATGCGTTTTTCAAGAATGTGTCTCTCAGATAGGAATTGATTCTTCGATCAGATTAATTAAATAAATCTCTGTGGTATGTAACGAACTTCATGGATGAACCATAGCCAGATTTCCCAGTACAAGCAAGCAAACAGAGCTATGACAACATCTACGTGCATAATTAAGCTGCTTCTACCCATTCAGACAGTACAATTATTCTATCTACCATAACCTTTATACGTAGAAAACAGACAGACAGGTTTATACACGTTCTACTATTAATATTTGAGCTATTTATCACGTGTATAGTTCTTTTGAATAAAACAATTTTTCTACTGCCCTTACTGCAATGATAAAAATAATGGGCAGTAGAAATTTATTTTATTTAAATGAATCATACGCGCTTTATAAATAGTTCAAATTTCCTATAACAGATGGCGCGCTAATGCATCGTGTTTGTACTTCTACTTCTCTCTAGCTGTAACTGAAAGAGAGACAAAAGGACAGGCAGGTTATATCCTAGCTACTCTATCATACATGGGACATAAAGAGAGACAAATATGCAATCTATTGCCATAACTATTTAACCTGGAGCAAAAAGAAAGATAAAAAGTAAATGCAGTTTTACTCTATCTACACTTCTTCCCGGAAGTTGGTGGAGACAAAGAGAAAAACAAAAATGAAAGAACGTATAGGTTCATGAAATATAAACAAAATGAAAGTCATATCTTCATATCACTAACTAAGAGTGCATCAATAGAGCCCAGAAATGAAAATTCACCAAACATTGATACTGTTAATTTGTGATTCTCTAGGTATTGGGACCTCAATATTTTTCTGATTCAACAAGGGAAGTCAACTCTGTTTCCACCTCAGTCTGTACGCAGCTGTTTCCTGAATTCCCAGTAAAAAAGGTTTCGGCACCAAAATTTTGATTCTAATTAAAAAAAAATAAAATTAGATATTTATTCCGAGATATCAAACCTGGATTTCAGGCTAGAGATATATTTGTGAGAGAAAGAGAATAAGGAGACTTCCTCACCTGACGGAATGCACTGCGATCTCGTGGCCGTTGCGGTAGAGCCAGTGGACCTTGGAGTAGTCGGTGTAATCGTGGCTGACGAAGAAGGTGGCCTTCACCGTGCAGTTGTTGCCGGCGTTCCTGCGGGCCGGGGTCAGCAGATCGCGGTACGTGGGGAGGTTGGCGATGTTCACGGCGTCGTCGAACGTCAGCATGACGAACTGCGGGCGGCACTGCGCCCCGCCTGCCAGCACCGCCAGTACCGCAGCCACCAGTGGGAACCTCATGACTGCTGTGGTCTGACACTGTTACTTCCCTCGTTATATGGCCGGGCGATAACCAATCTGTCTCCGATAATCCCTAGCTTCGGTCTTATCTTCGTGGTGACATTTACATGACATCTTGACAGCAGTTACTATCCCCTGATTACATGGTTTTACCTAGATGCCATAAGATAAGATGACAAGATCAGGAATGTAGAAGTTTAGAGAAGATTAGAAAATGAACTTGGACTGTTGAAGATCATCAGAAAAGATGGAAGAATTGGATGGGTCATATAAAGTATTAAAAGTAAACTAAGTACAACTGATTGGAAAGAGAACGGTAGGAAGAAAATGAATTAGACTACTGGATTGGTTGGAAGAGAGACGCTACGAAAAAAAAAAAAAGAGAAGAGTTCAAGAAAGAAAAGCATTGCCCAGAAGAATCTGTTCAAGAGCAGAGAAACTGAAAAATAATCCAAAGCTATACTTGTACAGAGAAAAAGTCTCTAAAAAGAAAGGTCATCTTACCGTCAAAATAAGCGCAAAGAAAATAAAAACGTTGTGCCATCATCTCTCAACCGTCTCTATCAGAATCTCTATCAGCCTTCGAACTTTTAGAACCCCCATCTGGATAAAATAGTTTTGATTTCACGAGATCACGAGAGAGTCGTGATATATTGAGGATTTTCCAAAGAGATGCTTTGCAAATGAAAGTGAAGAATTTGCCAAGGCGGCTAGGCCAAATCTATGGATAAAAGATCGAAGTACATTTTGCCTGAAAGATATTGACCTTTAAAATAAGGAGCCACCTTTCCTTTTAAATTACTAAGAGCCGATAGTTTCAGAGACAGATGACGCATAGTTCTTCGCTTATTTTTGACGGGAGAAATGACTTTACTGTTTATAGAGATCAACATCCTTCCTGCAACATTCCCATAGATAGAAGGGTTTTAAAAACGTACTTCGTGATTGATATGGCTAATAAACTGTTGGATGTGATAACGTTTCTGCATATTTTAAAAGGAGTGGCAAGTTCAGCCTCGCACCATCTTCCTAAATGATAAAAATACGTGGAAGCTGTCGTCAAGGCATCATGGCTACAGTCCAATGTCACAAACAACTAATCAATTGACGTTACCAAATTGTACTGACCTTCATCCTCAACATAGTTGCGATTCTCTAATTGTCATTTTTAATTAGGGCGTATACATGGCAATTAGCGATATTTTAGAGGCCCCGTTCTTGCAGCATCTCAGGTCTATTAACAACACTAATGAGGAGCAATTAGAGAAAGATTTTCTGGCTACTGGAGGAGGGGATAACTCTCTCTCTCTTAATTATCAGTCAAGTTAAATCCTCGGAACCTTGAAAATATGGAAATAATTAGCTGCAGACTCGGTAAACAGGGATGGACTGACGTAAGAGATAATCTCAGTTTGATCAGCAATCTTCTTTGAATGTCAGAGGGAGCCTGGTCGATATTATCTCTTCAAGTTATTACAACATCGGAGGTAGAAACATTTTATATTATATACAACATAAAGATGTGGGAGGATGGCATTTATGTACCGAAAGAGGCACTTAAAACCTGTCACCCGTTAAAAACGCTTTAAAATAATGTAATTTGGTTCATTACCCAGTATAGAACGTTATGGTGGTGACGAAGAAAGTGCCATAACATCAATTTTAACAAATTCAGATAAAGCTAACCTGTATACCATGGTTTCAGGCTATGGCCCTCATCATACGAAAGGAGTTATAAAATCGGTCGAATTTGCGAAAAAGAAGTTTAAAAAGGAGAATCTCTCTTTTGATCATGAATATCATCCTCCCGTACCTTTGTGTTATATTCTGATCTTAAAATCGGCTCTGCCACTTCACCAGCTTAAAAACCTTTCTGGTAAATTGGACCGATTTCATAATCCTTCTCGTAGGATGCTATGAAATCGAAGCCGCCCCTGTATTGATGAGGGTCAAAGTCCGAAACCATGGTATACAGGTTGGAATTTGACTAAATTTGCCGAATATGGTGTTGTGGCGCATACCTCATTGCCACCAAAACGACGCTCTGTACTGGGGTGATGAAATAAAATGCGTTGTTACATTTTTAACGGGAGAGATTATTCCTTTGATGCATTATTTTTTATTTTGGAATACATAGTATTGCAAAAGGAGTATATCTTGTGAAATAGAGAGACATTCATTAATAACACCGATAGACAAAACTTAAGGAAGTTGTACCTTATAGCATATATATATCGGGATTCAGAAAATAACTCTGAGAGATATTTTCTGAATCCCGAT